GCCACAGCTCAGCCAATGAGAAAAGCTGCAGCTCAGCCAATGAGAAATGCCACAGCTCAGCCAATGAGAAATGCCACAGCTCAGCCAATGAGAAAAGCAATGAGGAGCCGTTGCCGCCCTAAACTGTTACTTTCCCCCAATGGACTTTCCTTTAGAACAGCCCCTCCCCACTCCCCCTTTTTCTCTATAAAAGGAGCTCCCTGCCTTTGTTTACTGGATTTGCCTATGATTCACCATAGCATGCACATCTCAATTTGCAATTCTTTTGGCTATTCCCAAATAAACTCATTTTGAGATAAAATAATGGGCAAATTTGCTTTCTTTTTTTTAGCTAGAGGAAGATGGATCCTGAGCTAGCATCTGTGCCCATCTTTCTCTGTTTCGTATGTGGGGTGCCACCACAGCATGGCTTGTTGAGTGGTGTATAGGTCTGTGCCCAGGATCTGAAACCATGAACCCCGGGCCACTGAAGTGGGGCACACGAACTCAACCACTATGCCACCAGGCCAGCCTCAAAATTTGCTTTTTTTAAGCTGACAGCAGCTTGAGCGGATCTGTGTTTCTTGCAACCGAAATAACCCAATAGAGCAAACACAGTAGTGCAGAGGAGAGACGTAACTTGTTCCCGGCTGCCCCGCCATTCAGTGGGTAGTGAAGGGAGGTGACGACACACACAGCCCCTTCTCCTCAGATGCTTTATTTCTGGGACCAAATTTGGGTCACAGTTGCAGAGAAGGGATGGACTCTGGGACTGAGGAAGGAAGCAGTGAGGAAGGAAGGAAGGTGATCATTCTGGGGGCTGTCTCCAGGGTCTGACTAGAGAGACAGGGTCAGTCATGGTCGGGGAAAGGGGACTCTGACTCCAGGAGGCTCGGGGAGCTGGAGAGATCAACCATCTCGACAACTTCACGAAGGAATGGGGGTCTGGAAGGAGGGTCAGGGTCCGTGCAAGGGTGGGGACTTGCAAAGGGCCTGGGGCGCCAGAATGGCAGGTCCTGGGATGACTCAAGAGTTGGAGCGGATGGTGTCCTGGATCCACTTGGTGAACCGGCAGAGGTTGGTGTAGACGCCGGGCCTGTTGGGCTTGCCACAAGGCAAGTCTCCCCAGGACACGAGGCCCTGTAGGTAGCCGTTGCAGACCACGGGGCCCCCGGAATCACCCTGCGGGGGAGAAAGGGAGGCACAGAGAGGCAGAGATGTGGGTAGGTGGAGGGAGGGAGACACACAGATGAAGAAGAACCAGGGCAACAAGAGATAGAGACAGAGGGGTAAAAAGCAGAGGGATGAAGAGAACCAGGAAAAGACAGAGAAGGAGGCACAGGTAAAAAGAGAAAGACAGAGGGGGAGAATGTTAATATTGCACTTCAAGTCCAACCTTTAGAAACCCCCTGTGTCCTTCTCTATTCCCCTCCAACCTCTTCTCTGTCTGTCTCCCTTATTGCGTGTGTCTCTATTTCTCTCTCTCTCTCTCCCCTCCAGCCTTTGAATACCTTATTTCTCTTACTGGACACTCCCCTTCCCTTCCTCCCTCTTCACTCATCCTTCACATCAACCCTTGTACTTATACCTCACTTTTGCAGAAAGGCAGATCTCAGCCCCGGATGAGGGTTTCTTAACCTGGACCACACCGACATTGGGGCCAGATAATTCTTTGCTGTGGGGGGCTGTCCTGTGCATTGTAAGATGTTTAACAGCATCCTTGACCTCTACCCACTCGATGCTAGTAACCTCCCCTCCCCCTGGACACAGCTGTGACAACCAAAAATATTGCCAGGCATCGCCATATGTCCCCTGGGTGGTGGGGAGCAGAATCACTCCCTGGTTGAGACCCACTTCCTTTGGACTAATGTGGGTTGCCTGTGCTTAATTGCCCATAACTCCCTGTAATTACCCTCCTATAATAATATTCACCAATCTTTACTGTCATTTCTTTTTCACGTTTATGCAAAATACATAAACGTATAAAGTATAAAGAAGCAAAAAGAAACCTAGGACCTGGCTTCTTTCCCATGAGCAGACATTGTTCCAGGCAAAAGAGCCCGGCAGCCTGGAGCTCTGAATTTCAACTTTCTTGTGGTTTAATTTCTCTCATGATTTTTTAATACCCTATGCAGAGTTTCTTTTGAGAGGCAGTTAGTTAACTGCTCCAAGCCTTGGCTCCTTGTCTGTAAAATAGAGCTAATAATAATGACGAAATGAGTTAAGGAGCTGATGCATGTGAACCACTTAAAAGTGTCCAACAATTAGTTCGCTGCTATTATTAGACTATGAGTATTAGTATTGTTGTGGCTATTATTTCTTGCTTTTAGTGGACACACCCAGACCACACGCTGGCATAAAAAAACTACTTGAGGTCTGCAAAAAAAACCAAGGTACTAACCTCGGCTACAGAAAGGCTAAATGGTTTAAAATGCTGACATTCGAATTAGATGTGCTTTCTTCTTCTGCTAAAAATCCCCCCACTCACCCCTCTCTCCAGATGTGTGCTTCCAGTGTTAAGTGGGGACGGAGATGAAAGTGGGAGACCTGGGAAGTGGTTGCAATTGTCAGGTGTCTAAACTTTTGAGGGTCGCTTCTCACAGCCTTCAGAATGAGGCTGGGGTGCTGTCTGAGCTCACAGTTTCCTAAAGGCCATTGTGACTGAAGCATCCATCTCGCAAGCAGAGAGCTCATTAATTTACATCCCTCTTGAACCCTTGGGGACCTGAATACAGGAAAGGGTCCTGATCGCTGTGAGAGTTTAATTTTAATTTCTGTCATCCTCAACAGAGATAGCTTCCATGAGAATGTAGAGAAGCTCTGTGTTGGGGATCAAGAAATATTTCCTGAACATTGGCCCCCACCTGTCTCTCCAGGCTCAACTCGTATTGCCCCCGCCCCCCACGTGCTGTCTCCTAAACATACTGGCTTTTTTTCCTATTCTTTGCGTCAGCCAAATTCCTCCCTGCCTCAGGGCCTTTGCACAAGCTTTTCTTTCCCTTAACCTTCGCAAGGCTGGCTCCTTTGTGTCATTCAGTCTCTGTTCAGATGCCACATCTTCGAGGAGGCCTTCCAACCACCCTTTTGAATATTGCCCCCCATCACTTGCTATTATAAAGATAAGTTTTATTTTCTCTATAGCCTTTACCACTCTCTGAAATTACCCTATTTATGCAGGTTCTTGATCATAGGATTTTTTTACCTTTTTGCTCCTCTAATCCTTCCAACAACTTTGTAGTCAGTCCTCTATTAAATATTTTCTTTCTTTCTTTCTTTCTTTCTTTCTTTCTTTCTTTCTTTCTTTCTTTCTTTCTTTCTTTCTTTCTTTCGTGAGGAAGATTGGCCCTGAGCTAACATCTGATGCCAATTCTCCTCTTTTTGCTGAGGAAGATTGGACCTGAGCTAACTTCTGCACCCATCTTCCTCTATTTTGTAGATGGGACGCCTGCCACAGCACAGCTTGATGAGCAGTGCGTAGGTCCGCGCCCCAGATCCAGACCTGTGAACCCCGGGCCACTGAAGTGCAGCATGTGAACGTAACCACTAGGCCACGGGGCCAGCCCCAATATTTTCTCTTTTTAAATACCTACCACGGGTTTCTGTTTTCCTTCCTCGAGACATTTTATTAGCATTTGTCGGAAAACTTTCAAACTACAGATTTTGTGGGAACAAGACCCTTGACTGCCATCTGCCTGAAATTTGCGAAAACAAACCAGACAAAACTGTGATGTCTATCATGTGAAGGGTGCCCCTTAGATGTGATATCTTTCTGCAGTGCACAACCTGCTCCACCATACAGAACAGCCTTGATCTCTCCCTCTAGACCTGTGCTCTCTAATACAGGAGCCACTACATACACGGGGCCATTGAGCACTTGAAACACACCTAGCCCAAATTGAGATAGGCTGTCCGTGTGAGAATACACACTGGCTTTCAAAGACTTACTATGAAAAAAATGTAAACTATCTCATTCATAATTGTTTTATATTAATTACATTTTGAAATGATGATACTTGGGATACATGGGGTTAAATAGAATAGATTATTAAAATAGCTAATTTCATCTCTCTCTTTTTACTTTTTTAGTTGTAGCTACTAGAAAATTTAAAATCACATGTATAGCTCATATTCTATTTTTATTGGACGGCACTGGACCAGAATGAGAACTCCATGAGAACACGGGTCCTAACTGGTTTGGTCATCGCTGGATTCCCAGCACTTAGCAAGGTTCCGGGTTAAGCAGATGGTACTCCATGTGCAACTGCTGAGTGAATGGAGGAGTCTCGAGCCTTACCTGGCAGGAGTCTTTGCCCACCTCGTCACCAGCACAGAACATAGTCTTGTCTATCTGTCCCGGGTAAGCCTTCCTGCACCTTTCGTCACTTAGCACAGTGATGTCCAAACACTGAAGGACCTTGGGGTAGTGAACTGTCAAACAGAGACACACAGTGCAGAGCCACAGTGAGCAGCAGAGAAAGATGGGGAAGGGCAGAGTGCTCAGAGGCAGAGCGGGGAGAAGGCAGACACGGGTGGACATCAAGAGGGACGTGGACGCTCACCCTGGGGGCTGCTGGTCGTTCCCCATCCAGATACCAAGCAGCTGGTCCCAGCAGTCGGACAGTGGGAGGAGATGTTGATGGGCTTGACACTCGGAGTCTCGCGGATTCTTCTGTTCAGTTTGATGAGCATGAGGTCATTGGAGTGGCTGGGGTGCGAGTAACCCGGGTGGGGGATGGATTTGATCCCCTGGAATATCTGCTGCCCGGATTCGTAGATGGGATCCAGGTAATGGTGGCCGAGACGGATTCTGAAAAGTCTGAGGAAGACGGTGCCAATCACCCCCACCCCTGATCCCTATGCACACATCCAGTGCCAACTGCAGCCCCAAACCTAGCCCCAAGCCCAACTCCACTGCATCCTCAACCCAGCCCCAATACCATCTTTATCTCCAACCCCATGCCTATCCCCGCCCCAATCACAACTCCAAACCCATCCCCAACCCTAATCCTTTCCCCACAGAGAAACTACCAACATAGGCATTCCCAACCCCAAATCTAACCATCCCCAACCTCAACTCCAACCACCTCCAACCTCGCCTGAACTCTAATCCCAACCGCATCCTCAATCCCAGATCTATTCCCAATTGCAACTCCATCCTAACTCCATGTTTATCTCCACCCCATCCCAGTCTCCATTCACCTCCAATTCTGGAGCCAATCGTGATTCCATCCCTGGCCCAAACCATCAGCCTATGCATGTCCATCCCCAAATCCAACCCATTCCCAACCCCCAACCCAACCCTCACCCCAACCCTCATCCCTTTCCTACCCCCACATCATCAACATGTGCATTCCCAACTCCAAATCCAGCCATCTCCAATCCCATTCCTAACCCTACCGCACCCCATCGTCAGCCACACATCTATTTCCAATCCCCATCCCATCTTCATCCCCACCCCACCCCCAATTCTAAAGCCAGTCTGAATCGCATCACCATTCCAAACCATTCAACATGTGCATTCCTGACCTCCAATCCAGCGGATCCCTAACTCCCACCCCCTACCACAACCTTCTCCCCAACCTAACCCTACCTCCCCATTCTCCTCTCCAACTCCATCCTTAATCTACCCCCTCCTGCTCCCTCATCCCCCACCCATCCCCGCCAGACCCTCACCTCCCTGCCCCCTCCCGCATCCACCCTTCTCCGGACCCTCCCCAGCCCTCCTCCTGGAGCCCACACTCACTGCTTCCGACAGTGGGCAGCCGTGAGCAGCCACTGCGGATTCACCAGCACGGCCCCACAGTAGAGCCGGTTGGTATGCCTCAAGAGTGCACCCTGCCACGGCTGGCTGTTCTTCCTGCAGCTGGTCCCATTCATGATGCGGGGGACCCTGCCGTCGTCCGCCCGGGTGCCCTCCCCGGCCCCGGGTCCAAAGTCCCCGGTGTTCCCAGCAGGGCCCGGGGCAGAGGGTTTGTCGCCGGAAGCAACATCATTTGCAAGAACAGGCTCTGGGGACAAAAAAAATGGGCAGGAAGGGGCTCAGGGGCGGAGCTTGGACTCAAGGGATGGACATTAGACTCAAGAGAGGGGACCAGCCCGAGGATGTCTGATTTCTGACGGGGGCTGATGCTGAGAGGGCGGGACCAGGGCTCTGGAGGCGGAGCCCGGAGAGTAAACGTGCCACCGCTGATGAGGGAGCGAGCGGGAGAAATCAAGGACAGAGTCCAGGGTCGGGTGGTGAGGCTGAACTCCAACTGGACCTCAAGATTCCTGGGAGTGCTTAGAGCTCAGGGGGTGGGACCGGAGAGGGTGAAACTGCACAACCTCAGGGGCGGAGCCAGGGCTCAGGGGGTGGAGCCTGGGGTGGGCAGCGAGCAGGGCGTTAGGGGCGGGACCTGGGCTCAAGAAGTTGGGTCAGGCCTCAGTGAATGGGGTCAAGGCTGGAGGCGGCAGAGTCTGAGATGTGGGAGGGGCTTGGAATGACAGGTAGGGCCAAGGGCAGGGTCATGTGGGGGAGTCGATGCTATACAGAGCCCTGACTTTGGGGGAGGAGCTAGGGGCGAGGGTCCAGGAGTTGAGGACAGGATAGGGGGTGAAGCTTGGCCAAAAGGGGGAGAGTCGTAGAGGCGGGGCCTGACTGGGGGAGGGGCACAGTCCGAGGGGACCCTGACCTTAGATAAAGTCCAGACTGGGGTGTGGTTGAGGGAAAGGGGCGGAGTCAGAGCTGGTGGGCAGGGCGAGAGTTGGGTGAGCAGAACGAGGTAGGGGGCTCAGTTTGGGGGCCCCATGGAGGAGGAGAGCAGGGCTGGTTTTCTGAATTCTCAAGCACACATACGCCTCCTGAATCTTCCTGCCAAGACTCTCCTCCCACTCACAGACCTACAGACAGACAGATACCCCACTCCATCACCAGTCCCCACCGTGGTCGGATCACTCGTTCATGTTCTTGCGGGTGACTGGGAGAAGCGAAGCCTTCATTTACACACACACTCCAAGAGACATGCACACAACTGCTGTCATAGACGAGCACACATGCCAGTATACAGGCAGACACGCATCGTCTCCACAGGGACAGCTGCACACACTCCCCAGGGACACACATTAAGGGGCACCCACGCACAGTGTCTCAGTGACAGGCACATATGCAGCATATGCATATATGTAGAGACTACACTCACACTTCTGCACACAGGCACGTTGGCATGGTGACACGATCACACCCAGTGGACCCAGCATGGCACAGTACCAGCCACGTAGCAGCATCCACCTTCACACAGCCACTGCCTCATAGTGAAAGCCACTTCTGCACACTCCATCCCTCCAGGCAGCAACAGGAACTCCATACACACAGCTGCACCGTCACACAACAGCCCCCTACAAACACGCAGTCACATACACTCACCTGTACGTAGACCCTCAAGCAACTCCACAGCCACACACAATTTTGCAATCCCACCATCACAAACAGCTCCACACAAGCACCTAGCCACACATTTTCATGGTGATGAACACTTTTGTCACACGAAATCCAGTGACACAGCGACAGGAACCCCAGACACCAATAGTCATACCCAAAGCCCAGTAGCCACACACAGTAGCATTCACAGCAGGCAGACAGTCACCCACATAGTGACTGAGCCACACACGGTCTTACACACACACATCCAGTCACATAACCACATATACAGCCTCAGAGGGTAGTCCCACCTGTCACTTGATGTGGGAGAAGGCACCACACACACACACACACACACACACACACACACACACACACAGATGGTTGCAATCACACAACCACACACAATTGCATGATCACAAATACAGACATGGGCTCACATTGACCCGGTCCGAGAGCCATACCCAGTCCCACGCAGCCCCTGGGATAGACACTCCAGGATCACACAGAGTTACCCACAGCCACACACAGATAACCAGTTCACACACAGGTGGGGGTTCTGGTTACCTGTGACCCTCAGAATCAGGGCTATCAGGGCACAGACCATCCACGTCCAGGGGGGTCCTGCTGTAGCCATGGCCACTGCACCTGGTGGGAGGAGGACGGGGGCGGGGGGGGGGTGAGAATGCCCAAGGGATTCTTGGAGTCACTATCTCTTCTTTTCCTCTCCTGTCCCGTCTCCCAGGGCAGAGAGGACATTGCCCACCATGGGCGCTGAGTCCAGACCCAGGGACTATGGAGTTCAGGGGAGTCGACATCCAGCACCCCCCAGTCGGGGCGAGGAGGGAAGATAGAAAGATGGGGGTGCATTCCAGACCAGAGCCAGATAGGCAGACACATCTCTCTCCCTGTCCCCCTTCCCAGGCCTCACCTGCCGCGTCCCCCAGGTAGGGGGTGGGGAACCCGCTCCCAGCTCAGCTGCAGACTCCTGAGGCGTGCGCCGTCCCGCCGCCTCCTCCTCGGCTCCGGGCACGCGGCCTGGGTTATAACCACCCACCGATCCCCGGGGCGCATTCTCAGGGAGTGAGGTGCCGTGCCGGGGCTTAGCAACCACTCTTCCTGCTTCCCTCCACCTCCGCCCCCAGAGCACCCGCCACCCAGTCCCGAGGGCCACTCCCTACCTCCCTGGTCCGCGGATGGGGAGGGGTCTCCGCATGTCCGGACCATCCTCCCCGGCCCCCCCAGCCTTGCGCTCGGGCATCTCTGCAGCTCCGGGGCGCCCTTCTTGGCGCCAGGATTTTGCTTTCTTTTCTGCGCCTTCTGCTCAGCCCGCCTCCTCCCTCCCGCTCATTATCGACTTTGCCTCTGTTTTTTTCTCAGACTCTTCTACCCTTCCTTCTCCCTGTGTTTTTGCTTCCCTCTGAATCTTTCTGAGTCTCTCTCAATATAAGGCCTCCACTGAAGATCTCCTTTTGGACCTCTCTCTACCTCCCCTCTGTCTTAGGGTCCCTGTTTCTCTCTCTTCGTGTCTCCACATGTCTCTGTCTCCCTGTCTCTCCCTCTCTGTCTTTCTGTGTCTCCATGATGCGCTCTTGAATGGTTCTGAATGCTCTCTGTCACATACGCCTTAGAATTAAGTCTTTTATTTTCCTTTATTTCCCTCCTGCTGTATTTTTTTTACAGCTTTATTGAGGTACAACTGAGGTACAATAAGCCATGAGTATCTAACATGTACAATTGATGGGTTTTGACACACGTCCCACCATCGCCACAGTCAAGATAACGAGCAAATCCATCGCCGCGCCCAAAAGTTTCCTCCTTCCACTTTAAGTGTCTCTGTGAGCCTCGATTAATCTCTTTCTCTATTTACACCTCTGGGTCTTGGCATCGTTCCTTCTCTGTTATCTCTCTTTTCCCTGTGACTCTGCCCTTCTCTGTCTCTCTCTCTCTGTGTTTCTGTCTCTGTATCATTCTCTCTCTCTTTCTGCCCTCTGTCCCCGCATTTTGGGCTGAGAAGACTCAGGCCACTTTGCCCAGGGACTCCTCCACCCCTTCTCCTGCCCCTCCCCGTGGGACGGGGGCCGTGGGGCAGAAAGAGGCAGGGATCCAGCTCTGGGGGCGCCCGCATGTGCCTTGGCTCAGCTGGTGCAGCTGGGCATGGGCGAGAGAGTTGGGCAGGGCTGCCCGTCGATGGGGAAGGAGACCAACAGGCCAGGCTCGGGACAGGTGGCTCCTGGCTCTTTGGGAAATGAGGCGCTGGGTGGGGAGCCCAGAAGATGCCTTCTCCCTCCCCACTACTGGGTCATCTGGAGCTGCCCCTCCGACCCTCTTCTCTATTCCAGCCCTTCTTTCTGTCTGCCACCAGCTCTCTGCATCCATCTCTGACTATATCTCCAAGTCTCCATCCCCAGTAGGATAGAAGAGCCAAACACTCACTCAACACCTGTTTACTGAGCACCTATTCTATGCCAGACTCAGACCTACCTGTGAACAAGGTGGACGAAGACGCCTAGAGATGCTGTCTTTGTGGAGCGCACATTCCTTGAGGGCAAAACCCGAGCTGTCCTGCTCCCTTCTATAATCCCGCACCCGTGGAACGGGAGGTTTTAGAGCCCTGAGGCTGTTTTCAGTGTACAGGGAAAAAAAAATAAAGAAATAAAATTCCAAGGTATATTTTGACTATTGCAGTCAATAGTTCATGCGTTAAAGTGACCAATCCAGCAATTTACTTTTTTCTTTGTCTTTTAAGTTTAGCCTACAAATCTTTTTATTTTTTTCCTTTTTTTTTTTTTTTTGCTGAGGAAGATTCACCTTGAGCTAACTTCCTCTTTTTGCTTGAGGAAGATTTGCCCTGAGCTAACATCTGTGCCAGTCTTCTTCAATTTTGTATGTGGGTCGCCGCCACAACATGGCCACTGACAGGTAGTGTAGGTCCACATCCAGGATGCGAACCCCAGCCACCAAAGCAGATCACGCTGAACTTAACCACTAGGCCGTGGGGCTGTCCCCTAGTCTACAAATCTTTTTATTCTAGATAGGTCTTTGTAATGTTTGGTCCCATTTACAAACTAAGTTAACTCAATGTCTTCAAACATTTTAAACTACGTTTCTAAAACCAACACATTCAATCTCTTCTGGAAGTCCTTCCGTTTTTAGACAAAGCTTCCAGAGCATTTAAGTAAATTATACCTCTATGGATATTACACTTATAAATATGATCAATGTTGTATTCTTTCAAGTATCCCAACACTGGATATGAACTTCGTATGACTCCAACTCAAAAATCACACATCAGGGGCTGGCCCGGTGGCCTAGAGGTTAAGTTCGTCACCCTCTGCTTTGGCAGCCCAGATTCGTGGGTTCAGATCCTGGGCTCGGACCTACACCACTTGTCAGCCATGCTGTGACAGCGACCCACATACAAAATCAAGGAAGATTGGCACAGATGTTAGCTCAGGGTGAATCTTCCTCAAGCAAAAAGAGGAAGATTGGCAACAAATGTTAGCCTAGGACAAATCTTCCTCAGCAAAAAAAAAAAAAAAAATCACACATCAATGACACATCTCAAGCCGAAGTCACAAGGCTGCCCCTATAATTGGTAAAATTCTCTTAGATGTACAAGCACCTTAAATACCAAATGTGAAGCGGTTCTGCTGCAACAAAATATTCATGTTAAGGGTTGAGGCTTTAAACATTTCTATGCTCGATTCGAAAATGTATGAGAATTGAAAGAAAACTTTAGGATAGCAGAGCAGTTAGGAACCCAAACTCTGGGATTAGTCACCTGGCCTTCAAATTCTGACTTGGCCAGCTAGTATCTGTGAGAATTGGGGCAAACTATGGATCCTTTCTGCACCTCAGTTTCCCTATCTGTGGAATGGGAACAATAATGGTACCTAGCTTAGAGGATTGCTGTCAGGGTTAAATGAGTTAATACATATAAAGCTCTTAGAAAAATGCTGCTGTGTGCTGGGTAAGTGTTTATTATTATTATTATCCATTAAGGAAGATGATTCCCTCTCAATTAACTGAAATTGATATTTTTCATGTGTGTGTGAGGACGATCAGCCCTGAGCTACCATCCTATGCTGATCCTCCTCTTTTTTGCTGAGGAAGACTGGCCCTGGGCTAACATCCATGCCCATCTTCCTCTACTTTACATGGGACGCCGCCACAGCATGGCTTGACAAGCGGTGCGCTGGTGCACGCCCGGGATCCGAACCTGCGAACCCCGGGCTGCCACAGCGGATCATGCGCACTTAACCACTGAGCTACCGGGCTGGCCCCTAACTGAAATTGAGTTCGGTCTGGATATTCATTGATTGGGTTCCTCCTCGTGACCCCAGTGAATTTCATGGCCCTGTTTATCATTCATAAGTTCTGGAAGGGGTTGGTCAAGGCAAGCCTGGGCCATCCACATGACTTCATATTTCCATAGTCTGATACAAGTCAACCACTCCCTCCCATTGCGTCCCCTTGATAAAATTTCACCTTTCTTTGGTTCTTGAGACATCTGAGTGTTCTTTTTCTCCAACTCTAAAGACGTTTGAAACCGAAGGATTCCGTTCTTTTCATAAACTCTCTCTGTCTTTGGACCACATAACTCTTCCGTCATAAAATGACCCCTGATTGACTTTGACTATCTTCTATGCTGTGGTCGCTCTGCGTAATAACTTCCAATTCCATTCTACTCTGTGCTGGGCAAAAATAAGGTTGCAATAGATATTTGTGAAACAGATGGATTATCGCCTCTGATTCTCTCTCTGTTCCTAAATATTTCTCTGCTCCTAACTCCAGCTCCCGGGCCCTCTTTTCCCTCTCTCTGGGAAGCCACTACCTGTCCCACTAGCCTCTCTGGGAGGACACCTGGCTTAGATGCTATTTTGTCTTTCTTGCAGATGGTGCAGTGGGGGTTAAGAGGAGAAGGCCTCTCTGGGGACAGGGACAGGTCTGGGGCTTGGGGGTGGAGGTGTGTGCGTTGGTTTGGGATCATGCACGTGCATGCTGGTGGGAGAATCCCAGAAAGCATGCAGAAGCCTGGGTCCTTGCCCAGTTCTACCTGTCTGCTCCCCTCATTGCTTTGGGGGCCCCCAGTCTCTCCTCCTCCCTGCCCATCCCCATCCCTCAAATGGACCACAGCAGGATCTTTCTAATACCCAGACCTGACTCTGTCCTTCCTTTCCTCAGGGCCCTCAGGATCCAGGCCGAGTTCTTCTACCTGATGCTGAAGGCCCAGCGCTGTCTTCCATTGACCTACATTCCCAGCCATGTCGCCCACTTCTCCCACCTCAAACCCAAGCCCCCACCATCCTGGATGATTTGCCATCTCCGGGGTACCCCGGGCCTTTCTACAGCTCGTTCCCTCTATGAGAACGCCTTCCACCCAAACTTCTCCATTCCATGACCTCATATTCAGCCTCCCTTCCCCAGTCCTCCCAGCCTCAGCCCCAGCTCAGCCCTCATCTTCTCTCCCTACACCATCACCTCAACCTCTTCCCTGGCCTCTAGTCTTTCCCCTTTTGTCCATCCTGCACATGGTCCCAGTGCTGCTGCTGCTCACAATCCTCCCATGGCTCCCTATTGCCCTCAGGAGACAGTCCCAGCCTCTCAATCTGGGGTCTGAGGTCTTTTGGGATCTGGTCCATGCACTCCTCTCCCATCTTATCTCCCGTCACTCTTACCCACACGCAGTGGTCTCCCAGCCCTCTCATTTCCCCACTTTTGCTGCCCCAAGGGGAGTTTAGGAGAGAAGGCCACCCCTGAGGGCGAGCATAAGGTGGGGTGGTCTAGGATGTCTTCCTGGAGGGGAGGAAAAAGCAAATTGGGCTGTAAAAGGGAGCTAAGAATATCTGGGTTTCAGAGAGGCAGAAGCAGGATAAAAGCAAAAAGCATCACTAGTAATAAAAGTCACTCTTTATTGCTCACACAAGTGTGCCAGGCACTGTCATATATGTTTCACATGTTCAAACCTTGAACCCTCCCAACAATGGCCACTGCCTTATGGGAAATATACTATCATTATCTTGATTTTACAGATAAGAACATCTACACAGTGAAAGAAGGCACTTCCCAAGGGTACACGGTGAGCCAGTGGCAGAGCTGGGATTCCAACTCAGGTTTTTCCAGACTTGTGATCATTCCTCTGCAGGAAGAAATCGAGCTCATGAGATAATCAGGGAGGGAGGGATGCTTGGAAGGGATTTCCTGTGTTCTCTTAGTGGAGAGGGTAAGACCTTAGCCCCTGTCCCCACTCACCTCCGGTGATGCAAGGCTGGGGCTAAAATCAGGGAGGATTCGTGCTGTCGCGTCACTGCCTTTATTAAGCGTTAAGGGTCGGGTCTGGGCAGGTGGCGGGAAGGCAAGGTCTTGGTCAGAGATATTCTGGAGCCAGCAAGTGAGGGTCGTAGGTCAAGAGTTGGGTGTCACACGTCAGGGTCAGTTGGCCTGAATGGTTTTTCGGATCCAGTGGCCATATCTGCAGACATTGGTGTAGACTCCTGGCTTCTCCTTGGATCCACAGGGGACGTTGCCCCATGATACGAGGCCCCGGAGACGGTCTCCACAGACCAAGGGACCCCCAGAATCACCCTATGGGAAAGAGAGAGAGAGTCAGATGCAGAAATGCAGAGAGAAAAAGACCGAGAGACACAGAGACAGGTAGAGAGGGAGAGAGAGACACTCAGAGATGGAGCGAGATACTCGAGGACGGAGATGGACAGACAGACTGACACACAGGGAGTCACAGACAGGGAAATAGAGAGAGACTGAGGGAGACTCAGAAACATGGAGAAACAGAGAGAACACCAAGATCCAGAGAGGCATAGAGAGAAAAAGAGAAAGAATAAAGATCAAGAACAGAGACTGAGGGGTGTGGAGAGAGGCAGAGGTGCTGAGTGAGATGAGGAGGGAGGGAGGGAGGGATGGAGGGAGGGAAGGAGAGAGAGAGACATCTCTCAAGAGAGGACAGTTTCAGAAATGGGGCTTGTCTGCCTGCCCTTTCTTTGTATCCATCTCCCTGTGTACCATCCCTGTGTACCACCTTATCTCTGTCTCTTTCTCCCTCTTGGCTGGTCTCTGCAGATCCTTCAATGCACTGGGATCATTTTTGGCATAAAGAGTGGAGACCCAATGGACGACGGTGGGCGAAGCCCAAGTTAAAGGTATTTGGGAGTGGGGATGGAGCCCCCTCTCTCCCCAGGTAGGGTCCCCCTCCTCCACAGCTTGGCCATTACCAAGCAGGACTTGTGGGGACTCTGTTCGAGGAAGGACAGTCCCCTCACACCATCTGCCTCCTTACTAGTTACCCTGGTTTTCGATCTCTCCATCTCCATCCTCGTCTCTGCACCTCCTGTCTCTAGTGGCTGTCTGTATATCTCCGCCTGCCCTGACTGTGTCTCTCTGTGTCTAATTGAGTCTCTCTCCCTTCTCATGCCTCCGATTCCCTCCCAGCCTGTCTCTGGAATGTTCTGGTTTTGTCTGTGTGTCTGTCTCTTCCTGTCTCTGTCATTGGCTGTTCAACTGGCAGGTCCCGGTGTCCTCACCTGGCAAGAATCCTTCCCGAGCTTCTCATCCCCGGCGCACACCATGTTTTGGGTGATCTGGCCAGGATAGGCACGTTCACACTCCTCGTGGGACACCAAGTGGATGTAGGCACACTGGATGGTGTCAGGGAAATTGCCTGCCGAGACAGACAGGCCAGGCTCACCTCACAACCCGCCCTACCCTCATCCTCCCCTAGAAGTCCTCGCTCTTGTATTGGTCCTCATTTCCCACTGGTTCGCTTCTTCCTATTTGCCTCTCATTCTTAACACCCATTTTCATTGGCCCTAACTCCTGATTGGTCCCTCTTTACATCATCCTTCCCTCCCATTGGCCTGTTTCCCTCTTTAATCGTACCTTCTCCACGAGTTCTCATTTCCTATTGGTTTTCCTTTCTCTTAGGTCTTTCTTCCATTTGTCTGTCTTCCATTGGTCCCACCTTCTTCAGTAGTTCCAACTGACCTCTAGATGCTCTTCTTCTATTAGTCCCTCCTCTTATTATATCCCTTCATCCTTCATTGGACTCTTCTTGCCCATCCGATCATCCTGATTGGTCACCACTTGATCACTGGTCCTTTCCTAACTGGTCCCTTCTTTCCTCTGGTTCTCCCTTCCTATTGGCCCTTCATTCAGTGGTCCCCTTCCCTCATTGGTCCTTTCCTAAGTGGCCCTGCCCTCCCCCGTTGGTTTTCCCTTCCTATTGGCTCTTCAATCAATGGTCCACCTCCCTCATTGGTCCTTCCTAAGTGGCCCTGACCTCTCTGTTGGTTCTCTCTGCCTATTGGCCCTTCATCTAATGGTCCACCTTCCTTTGTGGCCCTTCACACACAGGCCCACCTCCAATGGTTCCTGCCGATCTATTGGACTTGCTTCTTCCTCTAGTCCTTCCTCTAGTGACTCTCTTGACCACTGACCCTTCCCCTATTGGTCCCTCCCCTATTGTCTCTCTCTACTCCATTCACCCTCACAGTTCACATCCTTCAGCTGGCTCCCCTGCTTTATTGATCTCTCTTCTTTGATTAGTCCCTCCCCCATTTATCCCTGCTTGATTATCAGTGCATCCTGAGTGGTGTCTTTTGATAATTGGCCTCCTTCCTGACTAGTATCTTCCCCCTGACCCTCCCTCTTCATTAACCCTTTACCTTATAGCCCATCTCTCCATACCATTCACTCGTTGGTCTACTTTCTCCATTGGCTGTTCACTCATTGGCCCAACTCCCATATTTGCCCTCCCTCCCCATTGATACACTGCCCCATTGGTCCTCACCATCAGCCCACCTCCCCCAGGACCCATCACCCATTGGCTTGCTGCCCCATCATCCTCCCCCTGCTGACCATCTGCTGTCTTCCCCCAGCCTAGGATGTGGCAGCTGGTGTGGTTGGCCGAGCAGTCTCTCTCCAGGGGCAGGGGCTGGATGTGTTCAGAGAATTTGGCCGGGCGTGCCAGGCGCAACAGCATGATGTCCTGGTCATGGGTGGCGGCATTGTAGCCAGGGTGGGCCACAGCCCGGACGACAGAGCTCTGCTCCTGGAAACTCTCCCTTTGCTGAAGGTTGTGCTTCCCAAGGTAGACCTGAAGATTCCTGTGGAAGAGGATGTCTGGGTCTCACCTGGAGCCCTTGGGCTGCAGCTGGGTGTCCACAGGGGGCTGTGGTGGGAGGCGGGCGTAACCTGGTACTCCATGAACCATCTGGCCTACTCCCCTCACAGTCTTCCCAGCTCAGTAAATGACAACTCCATCCTTCCAGAATAACCTTGACGATTATTCTTTTTGTGGGTTGGTGGGGGGAAGACAGGCTCTGAGCTAACAGCCGTTGCCAATCCTCCTCTTTTTGCTGAGGAAGACTAGCCCTGAGCTAACATCTGTGCCCATCTTCCTCTATTTTGTATATGGGACTCCTGCCACAGCATGGCTTCATGAGTGGTGCGTCAATCCGTGCCCAGGATCCAAACCTGGGAACCCCGGGCTGCTGAAGCAGAGTGTGCAAACTTAACCACTGTGCCACTGGGCCAGCCCCCCTTGATGACTATTCTTGACTCTTTATTTCATGCCTCACATCCAAGCTGACCAGAAATCCTGTTGGCTCTCCAAAGTATATCCAGAATCTGACCCTTCGCACCTCCTCCACTGCTACCATCTTGGTCTGACCGCCATCATCTCCTACCTGGACTATAGCAGTAGCTGCCTCACTGGATTCCTTGCTTCTGCCTTTGCCCCACTACAGTATATCTTCCAGGAAGGAGCCAGAGAGATTTTAATAACATAAGCTGGTCCTGTCCCTCCTCTGCTCAGAACCCTCCCATGACTCCCATCTCAAAATAAAGGCCAAAGTTCTCACCATGGCTGATAAGGTCCTGCACAATCTGCCCCTATCACCTCTCAGTTATCTCCTCCTACTCCCCCTCCCACCTCGCCCTTCTGTTCCAGCCACACTGGCTTCCCTGCCTTTCCTTGAACACAACAGTCATCCTCTCACCCCAGGGCCTTTGCACTGGCTGTTCCTGCTGCCTGCAACTCCTTACCCCAGATATGTGCATGGCTCTCTCCCTCACCTCCTTCAGATGTTGCCTTCTCAGTGAGGCCTTCCCTAGTGACCCAATTAAAATGCAAATATCCACCCCCAACAGGCTATTCCTATCTCCCTCTCCTGTTTTCTTTTCCCCCAGAGAACGTAGCATCACCATCTGAGATACTATACATGCATTGTTAAATATTTACTTGTTTTATTGTCTCTCCTCCTACCACAGCAGCACTATCCAACAGAACTTTCTGCAATGATGGAAATGTTCTCTATCTGCGCTGTTTGATACAGTGGCCACTAGTCACAGGTGGCTGCTGAGCACGAAATGTGGCTAGCGGGTTGGAATCTCACTTCATTTTTATTCATGTAAATTTAACTGGCTTATTGTGGCTATTGGCTACCGCATTCGATGGCACAGCTCTAGAATATCAAGATGGGATTTTTGTTTCATTCCTCAGGCAATTTTCCTCAGGGCCTAGACTGGTGTCTGGCACATGACAGGTAGTCAATAAATACTTGTGAAATGGATCAAAGAGTTACTCCCTTGCTCAAAAGCCTCCCATGGCTCCCTATTGCCCTCAGAATAAAACCCAAGTGCCTCGTTCTCTCATCCTCTGTCCTCCATGAGCTGGTGACTTTCCTTCTTAGAACATTCCGGATTGTTCCCACGACAGGGTCTTTGTCCTTGCATTTCCTCTGCCTGAAGGTTCTTCCCCTTCTTCACTTGGCTACCCCTTCTCATTTTCCATGCCTCAGCTTGAATTTCATCTCATCACAAAGTCCTTCCTGACACTTTCTTCCTTCTATAGTAGGTGCCTTTAGATGTCTTTTCCTTCATTGGACTTAGGGTAATTTGTAATTATATCATTTTTCAAGGGTTTGTTAAATAGCTGTCTTTCTGCACTTTTCTGCTCCTGTGTTCCCAAGGGTGGGGACTCTGCATACCTCACCCATGGCTGAATCCCCAGTGCCTAGCTCAAATCTGGCACTTAGTGGGTCCTCTTTTTTTTTTTTTTTTGCTGAGGAAGATTCGCCCTGAGCTAACATCTGTGCCCATCTTCCTCTATTTTGTATGTTGGTCACCACCAACGCATGGCTGCTGATGAGAGGTGTAGATCCATGCCTGGGAACTGAACCCGGGCCACCGAAGTGGATCACGCCGAACTTAACCACTAGGCCATGAAGCCAGCCCCATTAGTGGGTGCTCTTGATCAATGTGCACCGAATGAATGAATGAGGATGGTGGGAGCTATGCCAGGTCTCCTTGAGCTTGGGGGAGACCACCCTGAGGGTCCTTGAGTCCTTGACCCTGCTTGAGACCCCCCCCCCCAGTGGACGTGGCACCTGTTGGTTTCCAAACACTTGAGTTGTCCCTTGCTGCTTCTCTGACCCTCTATTTCCTCATCTGCGAGATGGGACCAAGAGTCCCTTATTGTGGGGATTCCGGGAAGGACATGTCAACTGCTTAACTTGGTGCCTGACCCATAGTTAGCATTGATCAGCTGTGGTTAACCTAACTGCTGATTATTAGTGCCCTGAGGATTTAGTCCTGGGCCCTCTACACTCCTCTGTCTATGCCCGCTTTTCGGATGACCTCATTCTGTCTCGTGGCTTTAACTACTACCTGTTTACCTCCAGCTCTGGCCTCTCCCAGGAGTGCTGTGGCCAACCTGCCCTCATTCTTGGACATCTCCCAGGAATCTCAAACTCACCTTGGCTAAAAATGTCTGACGCTCCCCTCCCACATCCAAACAGCTTCTCTTTCCCTCTGCCCAACTCAGAGGAGGACACACCCACACACCCCATTGTTCAAGTCAAATACCAGGAGGTCAGCCCTGCGTCTTCCCTCCCACCTCACCAAGTCCCGCTGGCTCAGTCTCAAAATACCTCCCGGGGTTTTCAACTTCCCTCCGTCCCCACTGCCACCATCCTGGTCCAACCTCCTCTTTGCTCGCCTCCACGGGCATCCCTTGCTTGACTTTCTCTTGCCCAGCCCACTTTCCACATGGCAGTCAGAGTGCTCCTAAGAATGTAAACCAGCTCACACTGTTTCCCCGATTAAAACTCTCCAGTGGCTTCCCACTGTGCTTAGAATTAAGTCCAAACGCTCCATCGCTCCTTCCAGGGCCCTGCATGATCTGATTCCCCAATCAGAGGGTCAGCTCATAGAACCAGCAATTTTGCTTGTTTTCTTCACCGCTAGATCACCAGGGCCTCAAAATGTGCCTGGCACATATTTGGCGCTCAACTAAATATGGGCCAGATGAACCTGGCTATCAGATGGCCTCCGGCTGGGACAGGGGAACGTGTGTGTCACTTCGTGCCTCACGTCTGCCAGGCAGCCCTGGGATCGAATTGCAGCCGCTGCCCATTCACGGCCTGGAGACTTACGGTTTTTTGCAGTGGGCGGCCGTGAGGACCCACAGAGGGTGAATGAGGACCCCCCCACACAGCAGGTGGCCGGAGGTGAAGAGCACAGCTTGGTAGGGGTGGGAGGTCTGCTCGCAGGGTCCGCCGTGAAGCACCTTATTCTGCTCCTCAGCCCAAGCTGAGGGAGGGAGGGTCTGGGTCAGAGAGGAGGTCTGGAGACACCAGGTGCATCCCACCAAGGTGAAACTCAATCCTCTCTCAGCCATCAAGAGCATCTCCATCCCCACCCCCAAACTTATTCTGTCCCCATTCTCCACACCAACCCCATCCTCAAACTCTTCCCCATCCTCAAAACCACCTCCCATCCCCTCTTCCTCATCTGCATCCCCCACCCCTAACCTGGCCCCTGACTTCTTCCCCATTCCAAACCCACCCAACCTCCATCCCCAAGTGTATCCCCCTCCCCAATGCCAATCTCTTCCCCATCAACAACCCCCACCTCGTCCCCAAACCTCCCATCCCCATTCCCATTCTTCCCACCTGCAGCAATCAGAACCAGCACTACAGCCAGCGTCTTCATGACCATTCCTGAGAGGAGAAGCCAAACGCTCCATCAGTTCCCGTCTCAGCCTCCACCGGAGTCCCCTCCTCCTCCCTCCTCATCCTCTCCTCCTCCATGGCCTGCCGTGCTCTCCTGACCCTTGACTTCTGTCCTTCATCTAGACTCCTGATTTCTCGTTTCCTCGGCCCACGTCTTCCATCTAAGCGTCCTGTGCAGGCAGGTGCCGGTGAGAACCCAGAACCACATCTGATGGTCCAGAGGCTCACAGCACGATTCTCATTAAGCTTTTCTGTTTGTCTTGGCTCTGGTTTGTCTTCCTACTAACAGGAAGGCCCAGGAGGGCCCCTGACGTCCTTCCCTCCCCATGGGATTTTTCCTCTGCACCTTGGCTCTGTGCTCATCTTGTCGCTCACCGCCACACCTGTAGGTTCTGGTGTGATCTTACCTGCTGGGGGCCGGCTGCCTACCAGCCCAGGGGTTCTTGGGTTGGGGGCAGGGACGGCACGTGTCACAGGCAGACAGACAGAGAGGCAGGGAGAGTCAGAAATGCAGGTAGTTACGGGGAGAGAAGGGACTCTGAAAGCAGAGAGGACGCCTCAGAGTCAGAGACAGAGAGAGAGAAAGCAGAGGATGTAGGGGCCAGTGGGAGGGGGGCGCAGTCCAGGGCTTCCAGGCTGCCAGATGGACGCCTGGACACCCCGAGCTTCCTAGTCTCCCTGGAAGAGGCTGGTCCTGTCCTCAGACGCTCCTGGCGCTTCCTTTTAACCCCTGTGTCCCTGGGTTCCTGAGACAGAAGGCTGCCCCGCCCCTTACCTTCTCACTCAGGCCTCCCACACACATTCCTCCCGCCCCCACAGCTCTGACCCTGATGACCCCCGACCCAGGCTACCAGGGAGGGGAGCACAGGTCCCTGAGTGCACCGGGGGCCTGGACTCCCGGGTCTGAGTGAAGAGGAAGCTGGGGGCCTGGACTCCAGGGTCTGAGGGAGGAGGGGCCACTGTCCTAGAATTCTGGACCTTCAAAGAGGAAGGGGCTGGATGTCTGCATTCCTGAGGGATGCATTCCTTTTCCCTAAAGGAGGGAAAGATAGGAGCTTGTTCTCCCCCAAGCCTCCGAGACTTCCAGGTCCTTGAGCAAGAAAGTGTCTGAGGACCCAAACACCAGCATCACAATCCCCTAGCCCCCGGGAATCCCACCCGCTCTGTCTGCGAGCACCCCGAGACCTGCAGGCCCTCACTCCTGGGTCCGGCATCCTTGGCACTGGGAATCTGGTTGCGTGGGTTCAGTGCGGTTGGTATGATTCACGCACCTGCCCGTAAGTCCCTCTGTGGGTCCTGACGACCTCCGTGTCCCCAGGAGAGTGAGCGAACCAGCCAGCGAGAAAGCATGTGTCACCAAGCCGGCACCCGCCTCTGCCGCGGGCTGGGGTGCAGGCCCAGGCGCTGTGGGGAAAGGGGCCTTGAACAATCGGGCTTTGTCCGCCCCTGGCACCCAGTGCCATGCTCCCAGCAGCTCCGTTTCTCAACCTCTCTTCCGGACAGGCAGGCAGGTGGGCGGCCGGCTGGCTGTCTCAATAGCTTCTCTTTGTCCCTGTCCGACAGTCCTGCTGCTGTCTTTTGATTGTCCACCCGCCTCTGCCCGAATGTCAGGACTCTTGACTCTCCGGGTCCCCCTCCTCCAAGTCTGCCCACCTCTGAGGTCTCTCTGTCCATCTGTCTCCCTGGCCGTGGTGGGGATGTCTCCACATCTGTCTCTTCCTTTCTCTGTGAGTTTCTCTCTGTTCATCTCTGTCTCCTCTTGTGTCTCTCTATCCCTCTGTCTCTTTCTCTGTCTTTTCTCTGTATCTCTCTTTCTCCTTGATTTTCTGGGTCCCTGTGGACACTCTCTAAATCTCTCTCTGCTTGTCTTACCTTAGAACCCCCTGCATTTCCAGAGAAGCATGTGCGTATGGGCAGAGGGGAGTTAGGTTCTTGGGGAGCTAAGAAGGATGACACAGAGGACCGTGGGGAAGCTGGTGGGAGACCAGGATTCCAGGCTTTGTTGATGAGATTCAACATGTAGGGAGAAACGTGGAAATAAGCAGATTGCAAGCAAATTTGAGAGCGACATGGGAGTGTGATGAGAAATGGGGGTGGCCGGGAAGCCACAGGAGGGATCCAGAAGGATTTGAGGAGGTGCCTTTGAACGTGGGCTTTTGGTCAGGAGGAGAGGGGGTGAAAAGGCTTGACGTGTGTAGAAACAGCAGGTGGCAGCAGGTGTGGCCGTGGAGGGAAATGAGGATGGGTGTGGCTACCACAAGGATGGGAAATGCAGGGCATGAGAAGGAAAAGGGGGGCTCTCGGGGAAGCCATTGGGTAGGAAGGACAACTGATCTGAATAATTTTCCACCTCAGCACATGTTTGGGCCTGGCGTGACGGGTAACCTCTTATTCCTGCCTTGAATTTAATTGTCACTACTTTGCTTGGCCGCCATCACTTTTGGGATGAAAACCAATTTTGTATTCAGTATACTTTCTGAGTCTGCTCCCCCCAGGCCCTTCACACTCAGGTCTCCACTGAACTCAGCATCTTCTTCTCAGGACCCACCATCCTCCCAGACACCAGGCTGGACCTCTCACTGTCCACTGACCCCCCGCCCCCGGCCCTTTCTGCGGCCTCCTATCTCTGTGTGGTCCCCTCTCTGTGCCCATGTCACTGGCCCCAGCCCACAACTGCTCCTCTCCCTCCCGGATCATTGCGTGGGCTCTTCCTCTCCTCTGTACCCTTCACTTGACCCTAGAAGGGTCTTCCTGCATCCAGAGCTGCCCCTGACCCTCTCCTGCTCACAGCCCTGCCCTCGGTCCCCCATCACCCTCGGGACGAAGACCTTCAGCCTCCAGAGCAGCTCTGGCCAGTGGAAATATAATGTCATGTACACATGCCCTTCTAAATTTTCTAGTAGCCACAGTTTAAAAAAAAAAAGGTAAAAAGAAACAGGAGGACATTTAATATTTCATTTGACCCCATATATCCAAAATATTATCATCTCAACGTGAAATCAAAATAAGAAAATTTTAAAGAGATAGCTCACTTAATTTTTGCAGAATAAGTGTTTGCAATCTGACATATCTTTTATACTTAACAGCACATCTCAATGGGAACTTGTCACATGTCACATGTCAGGAGACACCGTGGCGAGTGGCTGCCATATTGCACGGTGCAGCTCTGCCCACTTCTCTCATTGTGCTCCAGCCATGGAGATTATCCAAAGTTTCCCTGAACCACACCATGCCCTCTGACCTCTAGACCTTCATCCATTCCATTCCCTCTTCTCAGAGTGTTCTTCTCACCTCTTCCTGGCAATAACAACTTGTCCTTCAAGTCTTTGCTCAGACATCACCTCCTTCAGGAAGCCTTCCTTGAACGCCACCCAACTTCCACCCTCTGCAGTTGGGTTAGTCACTCTCTCTCTATGTTCCCAGAGCAGGTGCCTCCCTCAAGTCACCCTGGACTGTGACCATCTGGATCCAAATCCACCTGCCCCACTGGACCTTGAGCTCCTTGAGGACAGGCACGGGGCTGACTCACCCTTATGTCCTAACCGCCGGCACAAGACCTGGCCCAGAAGAAGCCTTAGGAAATGTTGATCAAATGACTAAAGGACTTCATTACGCCCATTCTTGTTCTACAGATAAGAAAACCGAGGCTCAGAGAGAGGAAGTTAATTGCTCAACGTCAAACACCCAGGAAATGGTAGAACCCGAATTGGAACTCAACTTCCAACATGGTGGTGGACATGGCCCATGTCTTGGCGCCCCCACTGGGTTTACCTCACTACAATATGGGATGGGTGGATTTGGGAGGAATTTTTGAGAGCCCTGTGGGAAAGGAGGAAGGTGGCAGGTGGTGGGGAGTGAAGGAACCTCTAAGAGAGAGAATGAAGTCTCCAACTGCAGGCCTTTGCCAGTGGCCTTCATGGTTTTGCCATTGCCACACGCCATGCATGCTTATTTATGGGGTGTTTTTCTCCAAATTCACATGCTCTGCAAAAGTCTTCAATAAAGAAAACGTTTTATAAGAAAATTATGAGAGTATAAGCCAGAAGAGGTACCCAAAGTCACAAATAATAAGACCCAACACTCATGGAAGGCTTATTCTGTGTCAATGTTCTAGCACTTTCCACATATTAAGCTTATTTCATCTTCATAACAGCCCTGGGAAATAGGTGCTATTTCTCTCATTTCAAGGATGAAGGAACAGGAATGCAGAAGCAATGTGCTCAAAAGCATAGCTTGTAGGTGCCAGAACTGGGATTGGGACCCAAGAATTCCAGTTTCTAGAGTTGGTGCTTTGACTACTATGCTATACTGTCTGCCCAAAGAAAGTGAGTTTTTTTTTTTTTTTTATTTCAACAAGAGTATTATCTCAAGTCATTGCGAACCAATCCACCTCCAGGCTTGTATACAAGAGCAGCTGGGAGGCAGGCCAGGCCTCTCCAGGCTGACTTAGTGTAACTGCAATGTTTTACTACTTTTTAAATTTTTAGATGAAATATTGGTTTGGGTGGTTTGCTGGAGAGAGAGGAAGTTGATGGAGCTTCATGGAGGCGGGTGGCCAAAAACCCTTGACATTGTTTAAACTTGGCACTGACCCAGAGGCAGGAGGAGACTGGGAGCCTGGATGAAGGAGGAGGGTCCCGGGGCCTGGACTCCCAGGTCTGAGGGAGGAGGGTCCAGGGTTCTTGACTCCTGGGTCTGAGGGAAGAGGGGCTGGGGGCCCGGACTTCCCTGTCTGAGGGAGGAGGAGGCTGGAGGCCTAGACTCCTGTATTTTGCGGGAGGAAGGGATTAGCCTCCTGTGTACATGGAATCTGTGGCTGCAGAACTTCTGCAATATAGGGAAGGGTGGGGGAATGGGGGCTTAGGAGACACTCAAGAGGGAGACGAGATGAGGAGAGGAAGGATCTGGAGGACGTTGTCTGGGAAGGAATCCTGGGGGAGAAACTGGAAAGACAGGTAGGAGAGCTGAGTCGTGGGCTGGAGAAGATCCCTCTGTCAGCAGCGTCTGAGGTGTGACGGTGCAGGGAGCCTGTGAGGACAGGAGGCCGGGGGTGTGGCCAGGCTCTGAGTCACGGAGGACGACTCCTTCCTCCCTCTTTCCTCCTGCCTTCCAGAGGCCCCTTCTCTGTCTTCTTTGAGACTAGGAGCCCACCTACCCAGGTTCCCACTCCACCTTCCTCTGGCACCGGGATACTGGCTGCTCACTTGGCAGGCCCTTGTGAGACTCAGGTATCCTGTCTTCCTGCCAACCATCTCCATCCTGAAAACCTCCTCCCTCTCCCTTTGTTACCTGTGAGATGCTCAAAAACACCTTCACATCCCCTTCCTGATGAAATAAGCATATTCTCTCTCTCCCTTCTCTTCCTCTCTCTCTCTCTCTCTCCCATTTTACAGATGAGGAAAACTGAGACCTGGGAAATGGAGAGAAGCACACCCCTGGACAGGGAGGCAAGGCAAGCGCTCAAAAACAGATACAGTTTTCTTTCCAGTCTCCCTCACTTCAGGGTCTCCTCTCCCCAACCTTAGATCTTCATAGCTTTTCCACCTTTATTTTTCAGGTTATAAACATGCACCCTACATCCACAGGAAAATAAATGGAAGGAAGGAAGCACCCCATGACTACCACTGAATGCAGCTTGGCACACAACTTTTCAGATTTTATTCTGTGAATATTTCATTTTACATGGTGAGGATCACATACATACATATTTTTTCATCTTCCTTTTTTCATTTGGCATCACAGAGCATAAACATTCTTGCACTAACACTAACAACTCTGCATAATTATTATCCTTAGCAGCCTCCTAATATCCCTGTCCCAATCTGGCCTATTGTTTCCTTAAGTAATCCACTAATTTGGGACATGTTCAGTGTTTCCACTATTTTGCTGTGATAGATAATGTTGCAATGAATTCAAACCTTTCTCCACACTTTGGATTTTTTTTCAGCAGTAGTGTCTTCCCAGAACGAGAACTACTGGGTCAAAGGTGGTGAATAAAGGTCTCAATTCACCTTACCAACCCGCCTACCACAAAAATGGTATGATTTTCAGTTTCAGTGGTTGAGACTACTGGTTTCACTGCATCTTTACCAGCACTGAGGTTTTTGTGTTTCTTGTTCTGGTTTTAGGTCCTTGCTAATTTGATTGGTTTACACACATGGCATATTGTTGAAGTTTTAATATGTCTTTGAGGAGAGGTAAAGCCAAATATGACTGTAGGTCATCAACGTTTCTGTGAATTTCCTGTTCAGGGCGTAGGGATGGAGAGATGCGAGTATGGAGGCATTAGCGATGCTTTCTTATGGTCTCCTTTATCCAACCGATGTACTTGCAGACTTGGGTGTAGACACCTGGGTCATTGGGTTGGCCGCAAGGGAAAGTTCCCCAGGACACCAGGCCTTGCAGGGTCCCTTTGCACATCAGTGGTCCCCCTGAGTCACCCTGGAGGAGAGACAGGAGATGAGCTTGGGCTTCAGAGCAACCAACACAGAGGTCTCACAAACCCAGCAGTTAGGAAGTCTTTCTCCGGCCAGCCCATAGACTTCCACACTGGCCAATGGGAAGACACTCATTGCCTCTGGGGACCAATGAGAGAGCAGGATCATATTCCCACGGAGAGGGCAAACCGGGTTCCCTGAAGACATTGGCTTGAGCCCCGTCCAATGGGACCAATCACAGGGAAGGGGCGGGGCTTCTGGGGGTCAGAACCCCATTTATTTTCCATCCTTAAGGACTCTAGGGCGACGCCACTGGCAGAAAGAGCATTATCTCCAGGGAATGGATACATGCCGCTTGCTCATGCAAGAAGGACAGGGTGGTTCTGGAAAACGGGGGCAGGACCAAAGACATAATTCACAAGGCCCAGTGCAAAATGAAAACGCGAGTCCCCTTGCTCAAAAATTAAGAATTTCAAGACAGCAACAGGAGTGCGTTAACACAATCGTGGGACTTTTCTGAGCGTGGGGCCCTATGCCACTGCACAGCTTGCACATTCATGGAGCAGACCCTCACTAGCAGAAAAGGGGACCCCCCCATTCTCTAGGACACACATCCCTGTCCCCTCACCCCTATCCATAGCACACACCATTCCACCTCCCCTGAAAGCTGAGGGTGCAGATGTGAGCAAAGGGGGTGGGGGCACACGGAGGAGAGGGATGCAGAGAGGGAAAGAGTCAAACAGAAGGGGAAGAGAGAGGTAGAGAGAAGGATGGAGAGAAGAAAGGGGAAGGAGGAGGGGGACGAGGAAGCAGAAATATAAGGGCTGGGTAAAGAGGCAGAGAGAGAGGCAGACAGCCCAGAGAGGGGGAGGGAGTAGGGGGAGAGAGAGGTGGGC